CAATCCTCTTTTATTCTTTTCTTTTTTTTATGCATGATTGAGCCCATGTGAGAGTAAGGAGAGAGACATGAGTATCTGTCAGAGGGTCTGCTCATGCTGTGATGACCCCTTTCTGCAGTCTTGTAGCCTGTTGAATCCTGGGCACTTCTATGTGTGCTTGGTGTGTTTCAGGCTGATTGGGCAGTGGATTTGAACCATGGTTGCCATGTGGGACCCAGCTTCTCTGGAGCAGTGCACTACTGCTGCACTATGGAGCTTGCTCTAGTTATTCTGTATCCTGGCAAAATATACATGACATAAAATTCACCATCTTATTTTTTTTAAAATTTCTATAGGGCACATGCCCTTATGGGGACTGAGAAAACACCCCTACAGGGAAATGACCATGTTGCAGTCTCTTCTCCTCCACTCTCCTCTTGAGATTTTGCACACTCACACATATGCACCTGGTGTCTTTCAAGTCACCAGGTCTGGGACTTGAACTGCAGTCAGTCATGTAGGAGTCAGCCATCTTAACCACCATACCGACTGGCCTTAAAATGTGCCATCTTAACTGTTACTAAATATACAATTCTGTGGTATTAATTTCATTGACATTCTTCTGCAACTGTGAAGTTTTAAAAGGGAAAACAATATGTATTTCTTCTTTTTAATTTAAAAAAAAAATTTGCCAGAGGGCACGTATTCTCACCAGAGAGACAGAGCTAGAGGGAGAGGAAGAGGGAGAAAGCACTGCGCTGTGGGGAGTGGTTGCACCACAATCCCTTCTCTTCCATGTCTCCCTCTCCAGGAATATTGGACATGTATACATACATGCCTAGTATGTTTTTCAAGTCAGCAGGTCTGAGACTCAAATAATGCAGTTGGCCAAGTGGGATCCAATCCCCTTAACCACCAGGCCATGGGTTGGCCCCAGTATTTCATTCTTTCTTTAATTTTATTTATTATTATTACTTTTTAAAAATTTTTCTATAGAGTATGTGCGCTTACTAGAGAGAGAGGGAGAGAAAGTGAGAAAGCAAGCCACCAGTGTGTATTTCTTTCTTTCTTTTTTTTTTTTATTGAGAGATTTTTGCTGTAGGGCGCATGCGCTCGCCAGACAGACAGAGAGAGACAGAGAGACAGAAAGCGAGAAATCACCCCCCAGGGGGGATGGTCACGCCACAATCCCTTCTCCTCCATTCTCCTCTCGGGATCTTGGGCATGCACACACACGTGCCCGGCATGAGTTTTAAGCCACCGGGTCCAGGACGCGAACCGCGGTCGACTACGTGGGAGTCCAGCAACATAGCCATTACGCTAACTGCTGGTTCCCGACAGTGTGTATTTCTTAATCCTGCAGGTTTTTCTCTTTCTTCCCTAGTATTTCTTTTTTATTGACCATAAGCTTTCCATTTATTTTAGATACTGAAGAGTTTCTTGTGGAAGTTTTGCGGAATGAAAACCTCAGTGTTGGTGCAAGGGACCACAGAGACCATATTGTACGGGGCTTTCAGCAAATCAAAGCTAGGTTGGTATAAGCTGGTTCCATTATTATTATTCATAAGCTTTAAATGAATTTATAATCAGTAAAATCCACTTTACTAGTGTGTAAGTGAACGAGGCAAGACTTGCCATAGTTCTTTATACTTGGTAGAAGCTTAAATATGTCCTGAATTTAATTGGAGATAGGCAAGTATAATAAGTGTAGTTGACCAAAATAAAAATGTTTCGATAATTATGTGTCTTTAAGATAATTTTCCTGCTTTTAGCCTTGGATTTTTAAGTTGGTCTTTATTGAACCCTTTGGCATTTCACTAAAAAAAAAAAAAAAAAAAAATTGGTGAAACCTAAGCATTCATGCTTGTTTACATTATCAGTGGGAAGGTGTCAGGCGGTTTGAGGTAACTTTCATTATGATTTTTGGGACTGACTTTACTTCCACATCTCTTTCCTAATAGAAAGCTTAGACCAGAGTTACCCCTTTGATTCTTTGATCATGTTGGAATGTTTTAGCCTCAGACTGCATTGGACTATCATGAACATTAAGTTTATTTTATTTTATTTTAATTAGAGTCCTGACCTAACTTGTGCACTTCAGAATGCGAACATCCGGCAGATGTATATACTTGCTCAAGGGAGGAAGAAATCAAAGTTTCCTTTATATTTCCCAACTACTTCTTGTTTGAAATGTGGTCATTAAATGAGAATTGGGGATAAGTGAGTGTTATTTTAGCCTTTTCCAACCTGGTGACAATGTGATTCAGAATGTTTGAACTGAGTACTCTGAAGAAAGGAAGACATAGGCAGGGTTATGGCTGAGACTTCATACGCGTGGCTGACCACTCTTAGCATCTACTTTTAAAACCTCATTGAAACTCCTCTTTCTATCCTTTGGAAGGGCACAGCCAGAATCGATTCCCTCCAGGAATGTGAGAGAACCTCACGAGATACCCTGCTGGATCTTAATCGATCCTTCCTGCTGGCTAATTAAGCATCACTTCTACTCAGCAACTGGGGACTGTGTAATTATCAGCCTGGGTTGCCCTGAATAATTGAAACAAACAGAATATAGATGGGAGGATTTTTTAAAAAATGAGAATATCTATAATTTTTGGTAATCTGGAAGAGTATTTAAAACAAAGTTCTTCATAATGTTAACTTTATTAGTAGATACGTTTAGGCTTAGTTGTGTAACTAGAGGCTTAGTAATACACAGAATTTTTTTTTTATAAATCTGCATATGTGTTTTATGATTCTCATAAGGATCTAGCATAAGGAATATAGGTGGAATTATTTTAAATTGGATTATAGGGTGATGGGCTCCAGAAATATAATGGCGTATATGGTGATTCTAATGGTACAAGTCCGTGCTAAAGAATGAAGAAACAATAGGGACCAATAAACAATGAGAAGAGGGACTAGCAGTTAGCGTAATGGCTATGTCACTGGACTCCCATGTAGTCGACCGCGGTTCGAGTCCTGGACCTGGTGGCTTAAACTCACGCCGGGTGCGTGTGCATGCGTGCCCAAGATCCCGAGAAGAGAATGGAGGAGAAGGGATTGCAGCGTGGCCATCCCCCCCGTGGGTGATTTCTCACTTTCTGTCTCTCTGTCTCTCTCTGTCTTTCTGGAGAGCACACGTGCCCTATAGCAAAAACCTCTCCAAAAAACAAAACCAAACAACAAGAAAGTATTCTTTTCCCCATATTTGTACCACAGCATTGGGAAAGGTCAAATTTTAGGCTTATATTGATAATCAAAGGTGAATTTGTGACAACCCATTACTGTCTATTGCATTTTACTTCTTAGCCCTCTTTTAAAATATATCCGCCCATACACTCAGGGACAAACTCATATACACACATAGAAGTTGCATTTGTTATGGGGTAGAGAGGGTTCCTTATTCTGAAAGAACTTTCTGTGTGGTTTGTGGGGTAGACATTCAGGAAATAATCAGCAAAAGCTTTAGGAAACATCTGTATTGTTGATGAGAGCTTTCTGTTCATTGATTTGTTGCAAGAAAGATGACACTTTATTTAGAATTTCATAATTATCAGATCACTGAGGAAATGAGGAGCCAGAAATTAGATACTGTACAAGGATATGGAAAAATGAAGCTTTCCTTTGGCAAGCTGTTTGAAATTGCCTTATATCCACCCATTCAATCTTCATTCTGTTAGTGTAACCCTTGTTTAACTGAATCCTCTCCTTCAGCCATATTACCTCTATTGCCCCATTGATGGTTGGGTAACATTATGCACTTACATGTAGTGATAGGAACTGGTTTGAAAATACTACAAGCATGCAGAATGCCAGTCATGTTTACTTGTGCTGTGTGGCAGTTCTGCCTCCCCAAAAAAGTGTGAAAAGACCTTCAAAGTCATTAAACTTGAGAGTTAAATGTACATGGCAAATACAAAGCTATTCTGCATAACAGGAAAAGAATTATTTAAAATTATTTTAAAATGTTTATCGTTAGTCACATTAAAGCAATAATATTTTGGGGGTATTGTAAATTTGAGGGCGAGATAGAACCTATCCAGAACTATGATTTGGCACTTCAGGGCTTATTTGGAAGGTGAGTAAGAAATCTCTAGGAGGATAATCTGGGAAAGCTTGTATATATTTGTGTACACGTACCTACCCACTCAAACATACATACATACATACATGAAGGGGCCTTCAAAAAGTTTGCAGAAAATGCATATTTTGAAAAAACTTTGCAGCAAAATTAACTTGTACTTTATTTCCACTTTTCTGTGACCTTCTGAGTCCCCTGTATATACAACTACTTCCCACTGTTCTCTTGCTTCTGTTCCTTTAATTCTTTCTTCAACATTGTGCTATTACCAACCAATTAAGTCCAGGTCTGTATGTATATACTCATTTCTTGACTTAAAAGTGTTACTGAAGGGGCCAAGAGGTGGTGTGGTGGTTAAGGCACTGGAATCCCACATGTCTGATTGCGGTTCAAGTCCTGGACCTGGAGGTTTGCTTTCTCACTTTCCCTCTCTGTTTCTCTCTGGTAAGTGCATGTGCCCCATAGCAAATTTAAAAAATAATAATAATTATACAATTAAATAAATGATTCTTAAAAAAAATTGTTACTGATGGTGACAGCAGGTGGTATGGAGGTTAAAGGGACTAAATCCCAAATGAGCAGCTATGCGGTTTGGAGTCCTGGATCCTGCAGGTTGAGAAGCAGGCTGGGCGTATATACATGTGTGCCCCAAATCCCAAGAGAAGAATGGAGAAGAAGGAATTTCTTATTTTCCTTTATTCTTTCTCTCTAGTGAGCATGTGCTCCCTATAGCAAACTACAAATAATGAAAAAAAAAGCATTATGATGAAGAATAACATATTCCATGTAAGACAAAATCAAAACAGATGACAATTTCTGTGATTCCAAGGGAATAAAACTCTGATGTGGTATTTGATGTCCAGAACTGTGATTTTCATTGTTATCTTCCAAACTGCCTCCTCCCTCAAACCTTCTCCTTAAAAACTAATGACTTTCACATCCTGAGTCCAAGTTTCTATTGAGCTTTTTGGAGAATGATTAGGATGAAAGCCAGGCAAAGGCCCCTCCTGCTTTATGACGGCAGTCACTGTAGGATTTAGCGTCGGATGCGAGACACCTGGAATGAAGCTGACACGATCAACACTCAGAAACTTGATGGTGTTCTTACTCATTTAGAGAAACAGTAACACATTTCTTAAGTGTTTGATCCAGTGGAGGGCATCTGACAGCAAGAATACCTTGAATGGGGGACAGGATGAAGAAAATAGACATTTTTATTATTGAGGTAAGAATAAATTCTCTCTTGATAGCCCTTTTTGAGACAACTAGTCATTTATTCTCGCTGTTGGATGTGAAGGCCAGAGCCAATGGAAACAAACTTGGAGTGTTGTTTTCCTCAGTGAAACTTAATGCTAAGGGAGTTCCAAAAAGAGACATGAAGATTTATAGCATATTGAAATGGAAAGAAATAAAGAAACAACTTTGTGTAACAGGATTGTGGCACAAAACCCACAAAACCCAGGATAGTTCAAGTACAAGCCAAAATAATATCTTGAATGTGTCATTGTGCGTGGTTAGCCTGTAGGCTCTGCATGAAACATGATACACTGGTACAAATTTCATGAAAGTAATTCTGGCTTCTTTGGAAATTTCAGGTTTTCTTTTCAGCTTACTGTGGATTTAGCTTTAAAACAGGCTGTTTCAGAATGTATAATTCTGATATTTTTGTATTGTAGGAAGAAAGGAGTTAGTCTAATAAAACTCTTAGGAGTGGAAGTTTAAAAATAGTATACTGCAATATCATTACCATTAATTATACAGAGAGTTTTACTTTTCCTTTCAATTGGTTATTGAGTTGAGTTAAAAACAAATGAAAACATATTGAAATAAAGTGTACTTATCAATAAACTTATATATAATAAGCTATTGGCATATTTGTGTTACAAGTTTAGAGATTTGCTCACAATATCTTTTCCTGTTTTTTTAAAGAATTATTTCATTTAACTTTATTTATTTATTTTTATTTGACCATAGAGGGGGGAGGGAGAGAGAGAGAGAGAGAAAGCAAGCCACCAGGTCTGGGACTCAAACCACGGTCAACTATGTGAGAGTCTAGTACCCTTACCACCACACCACCTGCTGGCCCCATCTTTTCCTGTTTTTAATTTTGCTACTTTATATAGGAATTTTAATGCCAACACAGAAGAAAAAGTAGGAGATACTTGTACAATCCATCTAAGTTTAAATACCTCTGAAAAGGCTTAACATTCATAACAATAATTTGACCTCTTTTTGAAGGATACTAATTCATTGGTTCCTCTTTTCTTTTTTTTTTTTGGAGAGGTTTTTGTTATAGGGCATGTGCACTCACCAGAAAGACAGAGAGAGACAGAGAGACAGAAAGCAAGAAATCACCCCCCAGGAAGGATGGCCACGTTGCAATCCCTTCTCCTCCATTCTCCTCTCGGGATCTTGGGCACGCACACACACACACACACACACACACC